GCTGAATGGGATAGAAGAATAGAAGGATTTCACTTGAATGTCATGTGTTTGAAGACATTTTATGACACAGTCTCTGTGTTTCATCCCTTAGCTGTATACACAGACTGAACAGTGTAGGAGTGGGAATCATCAGTACAGCCTGCTACCCGCCATGTTTTAAATAGTCGTGCAACTGATTTTGCAAGACAGATGACAGGTAGAAATAGATATGAGTGAAGGAGCAGACAAAGTGAGAAAGGAAGGAAAGAAGTTAAAAAATTTTAGAAATACTGCCCTTTTCCTCGTTTTCGTTGTTTTCTTCTTTTCCTGAATATTTTCTCTTCAACCTTTAATACAAACAATGTGAATATCCCTGGCAAGGAGCTATTGGAAGAGGACGAGGGGCCTGAAATCACGTCTATGTGTTAACATATGCAGTTTATTTGGCGTTGCTGACCCACCACCGTGGAGAGGAACACAGTCGAATTTTGATAATTAATGAAAACAACGAAAGTAATGCCATTTAGATCTCCCAAATAAGCAAGCCTGTATGCACATAGTGACTTGGTAGCCTGTTCCATGTTTCATCCCTGAGCTGTAGACACAGACGGCAAAATCGGTGCGAAATGAGGTGGGAATCATCATATTGGTTTAATCGCGAATTTTTCTGTTTTCGAATGAATTTGATGAAGCAGCATAAAACTTACTTTTCCTGAGCTGTAAACACAGACGGCAGAATCGGTGCGAAATGAGATGGGAATCATCATATTTGGTTTAGTCGCGAATTTTTCAGTTTTCGAATGAATTCGATGAAACGGTATAAAAGTTGTGTATTTCAGGATTGGCATTCCAATGGAGCACGTGCTGGATGTGGATGCCTTGAAGAAGCTCACCCCCGAGCAGCAGAGGAATCTGATTTCTGGTGTAAAGCAACAAGCAGCTATTCTCAACGCCCAGAATATGATCACCGTTCGTTTTTTACTTCCTTTTCTACTAGCATTAATTTCGCGATGTGCGGCGGTTAGCCTCGTGCCTTTTTATGCGTTTTGTGCTGTGTAACAGCGTTACAAAACCCATATTGTCACGGGGTTGTCTGTGTGTGTTTGTGTGTGTGTGTGTGTCCCACATTTTGTCCC